CCCCAAAACCCCAAAACCCCAAAACCCCTCAGATTAATATAAGAATTTTAAATTGAGAATTATAAATTCAAAAATCGAATGAATTAATAGAAAAAAAATTAGGCGCAACCTCACATGTAGCATGCTATTGATCAAATAGAGATAGAGAACCAAGCTCTGGCAAATAACAGCAAAATAACAGCAAGTGGTTCTGCAAGCAGTCTATTCTCTCTTAATAAGGTAGCTTATGTGGCTTTGTCACTGAACATGAACAACATAATTTCAACTCCTTTATACTTGATTATGCTTTGCATAGACTCTGTAGTACTAATCTATATGCTTTTATCAATAATCTACAGTCAGGTATATGATTAGCCTATAAATACCCTATGGCTTTTGGAAAGAAACCTTTATGATATGAATGATATCATACTTATTATTGTCCATGGCATCATGATATTTTATCAAATTCTAACATTGGTGGTGTTTGTTGTGCTGCTAATGCAAGATCTGAGAACTATCTTTGATACTGAGAAGCAATCAACTGCAAAGAAAGCTCTAATATTTGCCATCGTAATTTTAGATGTCGTTTTAAAAGCACCCTTGCTAGTGATTATAGTAAGATAACTAATACAGCCTCTGAATGAAGCAGATTAGGTTTTGGATATAGTGACACTTGGAATTAGTATTTTGGATTTGATATTCCTAACCTTCATGACATTGATATTTAAAAAGGTCTATCTAATGAGATTAAATAATCACAAGATACCATGGGCTTAAGGTGATGATAAAGATATCTCACTCAAATATTTAAGTAGATTATCTATTATTCTATTTCAAGGATTATACGCTAATCAATATGCAGCAATAGAAAGCTATGTGCCATTGTTTGCTATCACTATAATTGTGATACTCTTAGCTTAGCATTATCAGAGAATGACTTCTATTCCTCTATTCAAATGACCTGTACATATCTACAATCAAGTTTCAGATAATATTCTACTTGGACTATCTATAGTGGTACTAATTAACAGTTTTAGCGAAGTAGACATTAACTCTGCTGTATTCTATATATTTTTGCTAAACTTTGTCCTTATTGGAATGTCTTTTGTGATGAATTACTTTTGGGATTAGAGCATCTTAGAAAAAATAAAGACTGAGGAGATAAAGACTCATAATTAGTATCTTTAAGCCTTTAGAGTCTTATAGTACTATATCGATTAAGTATCACAACAAAAATCAAATCTTTATGAGAGTATGAGCTTCATTTTGAGTCTCATTAAATTCCATAACTTAAATTGCTAGAATAATACATGCTTTTGCCATCATACTGATTCTTTGATATGGGTATTAAAGAGAGCTTAAAATCAGGTAAATGAAAATTACATCGATATATACTAGGATGAACTCGAGCTATTAAACAACTACAATATCAACCCTTTTATAGTTCCTTCAGCTAATAATATGGATTCTCCATTCTAATCTAACCAATACATAAATAAGGAAAGAATTATAATTCAAATTGATGCTACTTAAGATACACATTTGCCTAATAATCATAACAATTATAACTCTGAAAGTTTATCTTCAATTGATCTTTAAGCAGTCAGCGGTAGTTTCAATAATGCACCTCTTATAAGGAATATGAATGATCTGCCTATAGATAATTAGGAGCCTATTCTGAAACTTGATTTGATTAAATTAATTCAATCATACTTGCTGGAATATCAGCATTTGCTCTTCAAAGAAGCCTTGATTAAATTTCCAAAAGACCCAACAATTTCACTAAATTATTAGTATTTCTGCTTTTTTTACCTGCATAACATTTTCATGGCTAATAATCAACTTAGAATATTTGATTATAGTCACTTTTCAACAATTAATAAGGCCAGCTATTTGGTTAATGAGGCGTATATGATACTGTTGCTTTCAAAAAATATCAGCAAACGAAAGTAAATTGAAAATGGATTCAAATATAAGCAATATGGAATAGTATTTGATGATCAGCAAATAGCTAAGAATTCATACTAGAGTGGAGCAATATAAGATTATATGGGAGAGGATTCACTTGATCCAGAGCATTTTATTCACGTCAATTATACAACACAGCTGTTTTACAATGGGATTCAATAGCTTTCAGTGGATGTGATGGACTTTTGGAAGTCACTTAGTGATAATACAGGATCCTTAGATGTAAAGAAAACTTAAGTTCAAGGTAATATAGTCTCTGAAAGAATTGGATACGTACAAAAGCAGTTTCATAGAATCAATTCATTATCCAAATATGCTGATCATAAGATCTATCATTGCTTTGCTTAAGTGTAAAAGCTAATCCTCAACGATCATCAAGCATATGAACTATACCTGAATAAGATGAAGAGTTTAATTACTATGCAAAAATTATTCAAAAATAACAGTCTTAAGTTCTACACTGATACTGATCTTGGTGTTCTACTAGCCAATGGAACTTAATAAGAGTTTGGAAAAATCATTCTCACTAATCAAATTCTGATGAAAGTTCTTGGTTTTTCAACCTAGGATTTGAGACATCAAAGAATAGGAATATTATAGCCAAAGCTAATAAAAGAAAATCATGATAAGTTTATCAGCAGATTTTTATCAACTGGCTAGTCTAATTTTATGCACACTATGCAAAACTTATTCCTATTAAATAAAAATGGCTATGTTTTACCTTTCTAAGTATATGTAGGGTTTTACTACTCCTTAAATTACACTCATACTATCATAGCATATATAACTCCTATTCAAGAAATGTAGATATAGAAAAACGGTCCCAAATATATTCCAAAGGATTTGATGTTTATGCTTTGTGATAGACAAGGATATATTTATGAAATCTCTGAGAGTTGTTCACAATAAATAGGCTTGCATAGTAAGTATTTAAGCACAAATGAGTTAAGATCATAATAAGAGAAATTAAATGTATAAGATCTGATACCAGACATAAATTTTGAAAGATTCTAATATCATATACTTTCTGAGTAGTTTTAGCAAAATAGCACTAACACTTTTGAGATAATATGCGAGTTCAATTTGGATATTGTTAATTAACTAAGATATAGTGAAAAAAGCGCAATTCAACGTTTAAAGAAAGGAAAAGTATAAGCATTAATCATTTAAGAAAGCTACGGAAATGGAATTCTTAATATGAATGTAGTAATTCTCAAGGTAGTTGAGGATTCTGTGTAAACTATTCAACAAATTTAGACAAATAGGCTAGATGAGCAAAGTACTATAAATAATGCAATGTAATTCTAAAATCTTGAGGAGGAAAAAGATTTCCAACTACATCAAAAAGTAGACTCTATTTCATCATCAGATTCATATTCTCATGTGGAATAAGAGCTAATAAAACAATCAATATCTGGACTAGAGAAATAAACTCCTAGATCATTGAAAGTTGTTGTGTAGCTTATAATACTTGTATTCCTAATTATGATTACAATTAGTTCTGTAAATTTATCTCTGACTCATACACGATCAATCAAGCTCAAAGATGAAATTAATTCTTACTCATTTAGTGCATAAAAAATGAATCTCAATAACAGAATAAGAATCATACTCAGAACTTTGTCAAATGTTGCCAACGGTTACGAAAATAATTAACTTTCTTATGTGTCTGGAATAAAAACAACTGTATTCGAAAAAAGATTAATGGAACTTATTAATTCCTTCAGATAAGTACAAATATCGCAAGAAAACTAGGATTTCGAAATGTCAAATTCATTCTCTAATTATCTTAAATCTGAAAACCTAAGAGTATAGTACCTCAATGAAAAGAATTAGATCTTTATTAATAATCACACAATGTCCTTTACTCTGAATCTCTATGTGAGCAGATTGCTAGATATCTATAATCTAAAAAATTCTTAATTTAAAGGAAATCTACATGTTTAAAGCTTAACTTTCAACACTTCTTCGGCATATGTTCCAACTGAAATAGAAAGAAATATATTCTTTGTCATTGCAAATTCTTTAGATGCTATTAGGGAACACTTGCAAATTGAAATCGAGTATTACTCGAGAGATATCAAAGATCACTCTGAGGAGAGTAAAGCATCAACAGAGACGACTATTATTATTTCAGTATGCTCAATCTTATTTGTTGGACTTATTGTAACTCCACTACTTTCAAGGATAGTCGACAGATAGTATTAAGCTCTCTAATTCTTCTTGTTGATAGACTAAATTTAAATTGACAACTTAATATTCAAGTGCTTCTAGTGCATTTAAGAAGTAAATGAACTTCTAGCGCTAAACAAAAGTACCTAAAATAATTAAATAGGTAATCCTAGAACATTGAATAATGATTTCTCATCATCTTAAATAAGCTAGGATGAAATTTCATATTCTTATAATGACTACACCAGACATCAAGATAAAACTATCACAGATATGGAAGGTTTAAATCAGTCAGCATTTAGTAATGATAGGTTTGAATATGGTTAAGGTGATGGCAGAGATAGTTATGAAGAATAAAAAGTTGGAGCAAGAAGAGTAAGTCAGATAAAAAAAGTAACCTAGAATAATATTAAATCTCATAAAGCCTTAGATTTTGAGAGAAAATCACGAATGATCAATAATTCAAGTAAAGATTTGAGCAGTATAAGACACTCAATAAATCATAATGAAATTGAGCTTCAGGATATGTCTAGCTTCAACACAAAGTAGAATGCTACTGAAAATTAACTAAATACAGTCAATAATGCTGATTAACAATATAATCAGGCTGACCATCATAAGAATAAAGGAGAACAGACTAATGAGAATGAAACTCTTGATGAGAAAAAGAAGATAATCAAGCAAACTTAAATCAAGAAAAGAGTGAGGGTAACTGCTTCTAGTTTATTAGTGATAATGGCTTTGTCATCTTACTTCATTGCTTCATATTTCATGTCTTTGAGAATATTCAATAGTATCCCTGAAATGATTGATGCCTTAGGCATTATTTACTATAAGGGTTCCGGTGTATAATCATTAGTTTCTTTTTACAGAGGAAATCTCATTCGCAATCAGTCATTATTCCTGTTTGAAGATCGCTAAAGAGATGCATTTTAATTTCAGCTTCAAAAACTCCAGAATGTTTCAGAGCAGTATAAATAATTCAGAAGAAAGATACCTTAAGCTTTATAAGATCTAGGTCCTTTTATTAGTGATATTGAAAGCATCAAAGCTTGCTAAATAAGCTATGAGAATAATCCCTAGATGATTAAAATTTGTAATACTTCCTTCAATGGAGTCATCTAGAAAGGATTAGAAAATACCTTAAGTCATTTCACAAGCATTTTACAGTAACTTGATATTCAGTTCCGAGGGAATTAGAACAGGACACTTCAATAGCTAAAAGATTTTATAGCTGACAGTCAAGTACTAGATATGGTAGAAACTTT